GAGCTTGACGCGTCACCACAGCCCCAAAAAAAAAAAAAAAAAAAAAAAAAAGCTGAGGCAACTCCTGCTGCTCCTGTCTGTCATGGCCAGTTGTTCCCTGTGCTGGTCTAGAGGCCTTGGACATGCTGCCTCAAGGCAGTCTCTACTGCCATCCCTTAGCTGTCAGCTGCTGTAGGCAGGCCCATGGGAGCCCCCAGGGTGCCAGCAACCTCTGTGCCCTGCTGCCAGGGGCAGCTCTGGAAAATTCCCAGGGCCTGGACCAGCTACTGGCTGCCCAGATATTTGGGCTGGGAAAGCCAGGGTCTGGGCCATGAGAGCAGGCACCAGCTCAGTGGTACTGAGGTCTTGGCAGGCACTCCATGCCCAGGAGCAGGGAGCCCTCCTCAGAGCAGGAGGCCCAGGCTGTTCCTCCCTGAGCTAGCTGTTCCCACCAGCCTTCAAGAGCATGCTGGCAAAGATGTGAGCCTGCTGTTTCAGCCTCACAAGATTCCCTCCCTGCCCAGATGTGGCCTGTTGTCTCTGCATGCAGCCTGGGCCATGTCCCACCTGCTCCCTGGGCAACCTACAACCTCACAGCCTTGTAAATTGTGTCTTTCTCCTCTCTGTGCACTAGGCTTAAATGCCTTCCGAGACTCCCTCTTTCCCCTCCACCGCAATCACCTGGATGTTTGTGTTGTATCTTCCGACTTTTCCTCCACACCATCCCTCCTTCCTCGGCGAGAACTCCACGCCAGTCCCCCAACCCTCCCGGCGCGCGAGGGCACCGCGACGCCTGCGGAGGAGTGCCTGGCCACATGGCCCAGCTCCAGTCCCGTGGTCAGCAAGAGCAGGAAGAATCTGCGAGGAGCTGCCTGCTCCCCCAGGCCAGGGTGATGGGCCACTGTCCCCTTGTGTGCCCCTGCCCCCAGTCTGCCCTTGCACATCACTGGGGACCAGGCCTGCGGGGGATTGTCTTCACTCCAGGCGTGCCGACTCCACCATCGTTAGACATCCTCAACCCTCCTAGCTTATTCCCTCCATCTCTGCTGAGGCCAGGATGGAGGCATGAAGATGGGGGGGCTGTTTTGGAACAGAGAGGCCTGGCCTAGGCAGGGCTGTCGTGTGCTCTGTTGCTTTCTTCCCTGTAGGCTTAGCTGATGTTAGTGCCCTGTAGCAAACCTGCGCTGGCCACCAGTGAGCTGGGCTCTCCCTGCAGCACAGGGCAGTTCCTGTCTTGCTATCCTCCTCCCTGCTGAGCTCTGCAACCCAGGGGCAGCATGTGGGTCCCTCTGCAGGGGCACAGGAATGTAGAGCAGCCCATAGCTACTGTACATCCAAGATGAGGTGAGGGGGTGACAGCCAAGGGCCATGCATGAAACTGGGAACTGCCAGGACAAGCATGTTTGGTTGCAACCTCCTGACCTGATGCTGTAGCAGATTTCCACACCTGATGGCGTTAAGGGGTGAATTGGCTCCCTGCTGTTCCAAGGTCCCCAGATGTGGCTGCTGGGAGAGGCAGGGGTGAAGCTGTTTGCTGTTCTTTGAAGGCAGAGAAAGGGTAGGAGGAAGGCGTAACTTCTCTGCAAGGGGCCAGGCCCCAGGCTATTAGGAGTGGCTGAGATGGAGAATGGGCTGGTTTGGAGCAAAGTGGTTGGGAGAAAAAGGAGGTGCGAAGAAGGATGTGAGGAAAGGAAGAGCTGGGGCTTTTGGGGTGCCCTGAGCATGTGGGGGCAGATGGCATGACTGGAGGGGAGGTTTCCACAGGACGAGAAAGGGCCAGGTTGCTCATGGAGGAGGTAAATTCTTGAATACAGGACCTGGCTTGCCAGGCCTGGTTCCTGGGGCTGTGACTCACTGTCTGTCCCTAGCCAAGTGGGTGGGCAATCTGTAACTCTTACTTGCTAGGAAGACAGTGCTGATGGCTGGGTGGGTGTGGGGGTGGCTCAGTGCCTCTGATGGGACTCCAGGCCTGTACAGGATCTGGTGCTGTCAGTCCCTACTGGGAAAGGGGATGTTTCCCAGGGCCAGACCACCACTGCCTTGAGCCTCACACCCTTGGATGCATACCCCCATCCCACCTCCAATAGGAAGTGAACCATCTTAACTGATGGCCCTCCTACCTGGGAAGAAAGCTGGGGGAGGCTGCAGCCAGCAGGACAGAGCCCAGAGGCCAGCGCAGGGTCACACCCCTCCTTTATTTATTTAGCTAGATAGTTTCTTTCATGCTAGTCATCTGGCAGGTTGTGATACTAAATGTGCTTGTGTCTGTCTGGGCCTGGCTTTCCCATGGTGGTGCAGAGGCCTTGGGGCACATGCGTGCTGCTCCCCTGGGAGCTTGTGCTTGCTGAAAGGAGGTCACCTCAGGACCATGGGGTGTGGAGCCCAGGGCTGAGTGCTCTAGGGCTGCGCTTTCCCTGCTGCTCTCTCCCAGCGCTGCTCCATGCTCCTTGAGAGTGGTGAGTCCCCAGTGCAGGGTGCATTCAGGCCTCAGTGCCACCTGCCCCTGTGCTTTGCCATGTCCTGGTGCTGTAACAACCGTACCTCTGATTAAAGGTAGACAGACCCAAACTGCTGCCCTGTGCTTCTTTCCACACTCTGTAGCCCAGCGTCGGTCAGCCCTGGGGTGGTGGGTGCAAATGCTGCCGGAGCAGGTGTGTGGGTGCTTGGTGTCTGTGTGCATACAGGGGGATGTGCTGCCCCCAGGGCACCTCTCCTGGGCTGAGCATTGGAGATGAGGGACCCAACTCCACTGTGCCTCTTCCTAACCTCCAAACTGGGGTTGCTGCTAACCTCAGCTCTGTAGCCATGTGTGGCAGGCCTGCCCCAGGCCATCTGAACCTGGGCCTTCCCCAACAGCTGTTTCCATTAGCCAGAGAAATACCCTATTGTGTCCCCCAGTGCTGAGCTCCATGTGCTGCCAAATCCTGCCAAAGTCCTCTGTCTCCATGCAGCAGGCAGGGTGGGAGCATGCAGTGGAGAGCAGCTCAGTGGTGGAGCTGCTGCTTTTTCTTTTGAGTGCTCTCATCCTGGTGGGTGCAATGGGGTGGGGGCTCTGTGGCAAACCAAGCCCCGTAAATGTTATGGGTTAAAAATAACCTTGCAGAAAAGGGAGTGGGGAGAGAAGGGAAGCTATTTTTAACTCAGCATGCAGCAGCATTTGGTTCTGTCATTGGTCTGCAGTCAGTCTGCATCACTGCAGCTGGGGAAATGTGGCTCCATCCTCCAGCCCTGACACCAAAGCATACTTCCTGGCTGGATCCTGCTGTCCTTGTACCATGGTCCTGCTCCCCTGCCCCAGCTGTGTTCCCTTCTCCATCCCTGGCTTGTGTGCCCTGGCAAAAGGAACAAACAGTGCCTGTCACGGCAGTACCCTGCAGGGAGAGTGGTGACCCCAGTGCAAGTCTGATGGGGAAGCAAAACACACCCCCACCCCCATCTTTGCTAGTGCTGCATACTGATGGCCAGCTCCTCCAAAACCTGCCCAGGATGCCTGGTGCAGGAGTTGAATTGCTTACCTTGCTAATACTTTCAGTGCTCTCTGCATTCCTGGTGTGTGGGTCCCTTGCAGCAACAGCATGTGGTTTCCCAGTCTGCAAACCCTTCATCCTGATGAGAAAGTTAAGAGGTTTAATGCACTTGGCTTATCCAAGAAGGGATGGGATGAATACCAGGAGAAAGGTTTGCTGGTAGGAAAGGTCCTGTTCATCAGCTGTTGGAGAGTGGTCTAGGGCTAGATCAGCTTTGTGTAATCGGAGCCGGGAAGTGTTGGAAAAATCTTCTCCAGGGCCACAACCCATAGGGGTCAGCACAAAGGGGTGACTGGCCAAAGGCAGGGACCCTGCTTACCTGCAGGGCTGTATGGACAGTCCTGGGGCAATTGCTGCTGCCAGCCTGGGCCAGAGGGCATTTTGATCATTTGGAGTGGTGGAGTGGTACGAAGGGGTTCCCACACATGCTTGTAAGGAGCAAAGGGCTTTTGCGGTCGCCTTATCTCCGTTTCTTCTGCCCTGATGTGCCAGGGGCCATTGGGATCAGGAGCAGGGGGGACTGCTGTTACCAGGCCAACAAGAGCAAAAGTAACTCATCAGCAGTGGTGCCATAACCTTGTGTAATGAGCATGCCTGGCCACAGGGGAAGAGCTTGGTGTCATGATGGCACAGTGGCATGAGGTGGTGTCATACTGGCAGCTGGTGCCTTGCACACGTGTGGAACTAAACACAGGAGATGGGCTAGAGCCTGTCAAGGGCTGAGAGTGCCTTTCTGAGTAATGGGGACTTTTGTGGGTGTGTGGGAAGAAATGGGCTGGGGAACAAGATTTAGGGCTGGTTTTGGTCTTTGGAAAAAGCAGGCAGCCATAAAGAAACCCCTGCAAAGAAACCCTGGGGCAGCTAGCAGGGCTCGGTGCAGCTAAAGTTGCAGGCTGAGGAGAGTGGTGCCTGCTTGGCAAGACAGTGTTGGTGCAGCCAACTGAATGCATCCCAGATAGAGCTGCCTGAATTGCTCAGCAGGCTCAAAGCTGATCATCTTGGGAGTGTTTGAGGTGGACCAAGGCCATGTGTGCATGTGGACTGGTCTTGTCTGACATGAGTGAGCCTGTAGGCCTGGCATGCAGGACCAGAATGTGCATCAGGACAAGTGCTGGATGGAGAGGAGGAATAGCAATGGCATGGTGAGGAAGGGCAAGGGGAGAGGGAGGATAGTCTCCAGCCAGCAGCAAAGGAAGAGCTGAAATTAGCGTCCTAGCAGCACGTCCTGGCCTGATAAAAGTACCCCCAAGCCTGGGGCTCCCATGAGGGCTTGATGCTTCCACTGGGACCTCCTTGGTAGCTGCTGCCTGAGCTGTTGCGAGTGATGGAGGTACACCACGTTTGAGCAGGGCTGTGGGGATGCCAGTGCCATTTGTGCTGCTGGCCTGGTGCAGGTCAGCAGCCTGGCTGGGCGTTGAGCTTGCACCAGGCAGGAGGGAGGATCAGTCTGGATGAGCTAGGCCGTGGTGGTGGGGAACCCTGACTCCATGGTCGTCATATCCCGTGGAGAAACAGGGTGAGGGGTAGCCATGTAGCGAGCAGTAAGCCTGCTCTGGGCCAGGGCTAACTCCTCAGTGCAAGCAGGCAAGAGGGTGTTTGGAGCCAAGCCCAGTTCCTGGCCACTTGTCTGCAGCATGCCAGAGCCTGATCAGTGCCACTCAGCCGTTGCCCCGGCTTGTGTCTCTGTGTCCAGGATGGCAGTGGCACCCTCCAGCGCAGCAGCTCTCTGGGGAAAATCCGGGATGTGATACGGAGGAGCAGTGAGATGTTGGTCAAGAAACTGCAGGGCAATGGTCCCCTGGAGCCCAGGAACACCAGGTAGGGGCCAGGCTGGGTGCAGGACAGGTGGGGGCCCTGTCACCTTTGGGGGTTGGGGTCTGGCCAGGCACAACAACATCACACCCGCTCTCCTCTGCTTTCTTGTAGCATGAAACGAGCTGCATCATTAAATTACCTGCACAAGTCTAGCGATGCTTCATTTGAGGTAAGCACTGGGCGGGTGGCGGGGCTGGTGCAGGAATGGGCGCTAGGGTTGGGGACTGTGTGGCCAAAGCTGGCTATGGGGGCTGTGGCCAGCGACACAAGGTGATGATGGGGACAGTGGGCAGTGCCCAAGACCCCACCAGAGATGCAGATCCTTGCAGATGTACTCTGCTGCTGTGTGGGGCTGGAGCTATTCTGCCTTCCCAAGGGGCGGCCTGGGCCCCTGCCCCTGCTGCGCAGCCCCTGTTCTGAGATCATAGCTCCAAAACTGAAGCTGTTGCCTCTAAGTAACGACCTCCCTGCCTGCTCAGCAAACCCTCCAGCCGCAGAATGGGAGCAGGGGGGGCAGAGGCGGCTCCTAACATGGCTGATCATGGCACTGGGGGAGTCCTGGCTTGCCAAAGCAAGGGGTGGAGGAGGTGGGCTGGCAGATCGGGGGGGCGGGTGTGGATTGCAGGTACTGGTCCCCACGGGCAATGTCTTTTCCAGGGCACCCAAGGCCTGCGTGCAGAGAGCAGAGGCCTCAGCGCCAGCAGCATGGCCCTGCCCTCCCACAGCTCCCTGCTCTCCTCCCACTGCCCTGCCTGCAGGTGCCCCCAGCGTCTGGCCCCCCTTCTGCTGGCGCACCGCAGCTGCGCGCTGCGCGGGGCAGCTCCCGGCACCCTCCCCACCTCAACTGCTCTCTTTTCCCTGTCACCGGCTCTCGTCACACTGTCTGCCCGTCCAGCCTGCGGCCCCAGGAGGCCCTGGCTAGTTTTGGGAAATCGCAGCCTGCACGCATGCTCCTCTGCTGCGCACCCAGGGCCGGCAGCTTTGGTGGCAGCACGCTCGGCACCAGCCGCACACGCTCGCCAGGTAGAAACGCCAGTCCGGCAGGAGCGGGGCAGCCTCCTACG